AGTTAGTGGCAATATCCAGAAAGTCTTCCCACCTTCAATGCAAGGAAACAAATAAAATAAACATTTTAGAATCAAGAGGATCTGAGTTAGAATTCTATCTCAGACATTTACTAGCTTTGTGACCCTGGGCAAGCCACTTCACCTTTATCTACCTCAGTTTGCTCATCTGTAAAATGAGGACAATAAAAGCACCTACCTCACATGTCTGTTGTGAAAATAAAAAAAATGAACATATATAAGGCACTTTGCAAATCTTAAGGACTATACAAATGCTAGCTATCATTAAATGCCTACTGTATAAAGGACACTAATACTAGGTAGTAGGGGAAATACAAAGACAAGCCATCCTCCCTGTTCTCAAGTTGCTGACTAGTCCAATAGCTGTAATACAAGAGATTACATTAGAAGGTTTGAAAACCACAAGACAAAATGTCAGGTAAGGTCTGAGAGGGATGGTCAACACTGAGCCCTGGAGAAAGTCACAGATAAGGTCCAGATTACAAACATGGGAGACAGGTGGGATGTGGTCAGAAGTAACATAGAAAAAATGTAGAAGTAGAAAAGGGATTTCAGGGTGCTTTATTTGGCCTCATGTCTTAGGTTAAAGCAAATATCTCGGTTTGGGATTTTGAGAAAATTGGTACTCAGGAAATGATACAATCACGAGCTCTATCATTATGTAATGCAGCGAGCAGACAGACTAAGCCTATATACACTGATATAAAAAGACAGACTTGTCCTTGCACATTCAAGAAACTTATCTCAGCTTGAAGGGGAAGGAGACAAGATGGGGAGGGAACATGCTCAAATTTGGGGTTCAGATGGCAATATTATGTACTGTAAGACTGGGCTTGGTTGAGAACAGATAATTGGTGCCAGATGTAGGAGGGGGCATTCCTAATCAGACCTAGATGTGGTGGAAAAGTTATTGAGGGGCTCCTTATTGATATACCAGGCTTGGGTGAAACTAGGGGAGGTTTCTTTATCAGGACCACAAAGTGGTGGGAAGATCTGACTAAGGTAACAGAAGGAAGACGACTCCAGGCCCCTGCAGCAGGTCAAGAATTCATCCAAGCCAAAAGCTGCAAGCCTTAGCTGCCTGACATAGAATTAACAGTAGGAAAGCGTAAACTGTCAGTTTGTCTTCTGTGCTTCTAGGGGCATTAAGAACACTTAGCCTAAGTGACTCTATATTGGAGTCCTATCTTTATAAACATACTATCAAGCAATATCCATGACAAACAATAACATTGAACAATAATCATAACTTCAAAAATTTTAAGTTTACAATTATCACAAGGGGGAAAGTAATTCACAAAATGACCAAGTTGAGACTGACTCCCAGTTTGGGGTCTCTTCTACTATATATTCCCCAGTTACTTCTCCCAAATGTAAGTCATCATTGTTATTTTTCTCCATTTCAGACTCTCCTGATCCACTCAGTGGGACTAGAATGTTCATTCAATCAGCCAGCATTTATTAAGCACCTTGTATGTGTCCCACTGTCCTAGGGACTTTTTGTACAAAGACAAAATGAAAGGTGGTCACTATCATTCAATCAATGAATCAGTCAATAAGCATCTGTTAAGTGCTTACTATTGATAGGCACCATACTAAGCACTAAGGATTTAAAAAAGAATAAAAACCAGCCCCTGTCCTCAAGGAGCTTACTTTCTAATGGGGGGGGGACAATGTACAAATAAGCAAGTACATAGAAAATAAATACAGAGTAGATACAAGGTAACCTTAGAGGTGAAGGTACTAGCAGTTGCGAAGTCTGTGTAAGGACTCCTTCAGAAGGGGTCATTTGAGCAGAGTTTTGAAGGAAGACTGGGGTAACTAGAAAGATGATGGTGCCCTTACCAGTAAGAGAAAAGTTCAGGAGAAGTGTAGGATTGGGGGTGAAGGGAAGGAGAATGAGTTCATTTTTGGACATGTTGAGTTGGAGATGCCTATGGGGCATCCAGTTTGAAATACCCAATAGGCAATTGGTGATGTGAGTCTGGAGCTCAGGAGAGAGACTCCAGCTTGAGGTAGCTAAGTGGTTCAGTGAATAATGTGCTGGAACTAAAGTAAGGAAGACCTGAGTTCAAATCCATCCTCAGATACTTAATAGTTGTGTGACCCTGGGCAAGTCACTTAAACTTAGTTTCCCCATATGTAGAATGAAGATAATAATAGCACTTATCTCCCAATTGCTGTGAAGATGAAATATTTGTAGAGTGCCTTGAAAACCTCAAAGTACTATTATTATCATTATTATTATATAAACTATAAGTCTGGGAATTCTTAAGAGCTTACATTCTGATCGCTTATATAACCTCTATGCTGATATAAACATCAGATAATTTGAAGAGGAGGTGGCCCTAACTACAGAAATCAGGAAACTTCACAGAGTAGGTATAGCCAAAATGATCCTCGAAGCCAAGGATTCTAGCAGGTGAGGATGAAGTGGGGCTGCATTCTGAGTGTAACAGTAGGCACCACTGTGGAATAAGACAGTATTTTCTGTACTTTCCCTTCTCATCCCAACTTAGCCACTGCTTCTGAGCACATGCTCTTGTGGCTCATTCTTTCATGGGAAACCTAAGGGAGCCCCAAATTCAAATGTTCTGTTTTGAAGTGTTATTGGGTGATTCATAAAAAATAAACTGTGAACTTTTTGTGGTGGCAAAAGTTGGAAACTGAAGGGATATCCATCAATTGGGGAATGGCTGAACAAATTGTGGTATGTGATTGTGATGGAATACTACTGTATTCTATATAAGAAGGGACAAGCAGGATGGTTTCAGAAAAAGCTGGGAAGACTTACATGAACTGATGCAAAGTGAAGTGAGCAGAACCAGGAAAACATTGTACACAGTAACAGCAATATTGTAAGGATAATCAACTGTGAAAGACTTAGCTCTTCTGGGCAGTACAATGATCCAAGACAATTCCAAATGACTTACGATGAAAAATGCTAGTCACCTCCAGAGAAAGAACTGATGGAGTCTAAGTGCAAATTGAATTATAATTTAAAAACTTTCTTTATTACTCTTTATTTTTGTCTTGTGCTCTCTTTTGCAAAGGGCTAATATGGAAATATGTTTTGTCTGACTGCACATGTATAATCTATATCAAACTGCTTGCTTCTTAAGGAGGGAGAGAAGTTTGGGAACTCAAAAATTATAAAAAGAAATGTCTAAATTGTTTAACATGTAATTGAGAAAGAAAGAAAAACATTCTTAAAAAAGAAAAAAACCCCAATAAACTGTGACTTGATAGTCCCTGGGGAGGTGGGGTTTTTTTTTGGCTAGGCAATAGGGTTAAGTGACTTGCCCAGGGTCACACAGGTAGTGAGTATTATGTGTCTGAGGCTGGATTTGAACTCAGGTCCTCCTGACTCCAGAACCAGTGCTCTATCCACTGCACCACCTAGCTGTCCCCTCCCCCCGGGTGGGGTGTCTTAACCTCACATGCTAGAATTGTGGGGACTTAGTATAGACAATTTGTGCAATGCAAAACCCCTTGTGACTGACCCTCCAAGTACTCTCTGATCTCAAGTCATGGCAAACTCAAAGACAATGGAAACAAACTAATATATAAAAAGAGAATTAGATTTATAAAATACCATGAGCAGTAGTACAGCAAAGGAGTACATTTTTTTTCCAGAGGGAGGCAGACGACAGAAGAAAAAGCTACTTCTTAGCCATTGAAGCTGAGGGGTAGGGGAGAATCCCCTACTAGGGAGCTCCTTCCTCCAATCTGAATGCTGCAGTCCCACTTGCCTCCTGTGGATGACGATTCTGGCTGCTTCAGGGGGTATATAGCTTGTTTTCTACTTCATCAAACAGTCTCTTTCCTATTTCTTAGACTCTTCTCCCTTCCATGAGGCTTCCTGGCTGGAGATTCCTTCTCTTCCTCCTTTCACTTGCCCTGCCCAGGTAAGATCTCATCCCCTTTCCATCAAATTGCAGGCAGCTGCTTTTCCCCACGAACCTAGCTCTTTGGTCTGTGAAAACTTGTAAGTGGGGCTACACAACCCTGGGGGGATAAAGTGTGGAGGCAAGGGATGGAATGTTGAGTTTGGGAAACAGAAGGCAGGCTGATTTGTCTAGGGAGGTCAGAGAAATGAAGGTTTCTCTGGACCCACAGGCTGTGGGACATAATAATATCAACATTGAACTCACACAGCCCCTTTGTTTTCTGAAGAATTCACAGAACTATTGATTTTTGAGCCTCTTTTTCTGTTTCCTACACTGGATACTGGGGAAAAATTTTGTCATTAAAATATTATAAGGATTCAGAGTTGGAAGGTAACCTGAGAGATCATCTGTTCTAATCCCTCCATTTTACAAAGGAGGAAGTTGAAAACAGATGAAGTGACTTCCACAGAGCCAAGATTCGAATACAGGTCCTCTGAAGACACCATCATAGCATGCTTTCCATTGTACCAAACTGCCTCACTTTAGAGTTATGCAGCTGTGAGTGATGAAGACTTCGTGTTTCCCTTGTAGCTCTTCTAGGCACACTGTCATCTCTGTGTCTGTTTCTGCTCTCTCTTTCTCTGTTTCTGTCTCTCTCCTTTAGTGCTACTACAGATCACCAACTTCAACCTTGGATTACAATTTGATCTTCTAATTCCAGGTCCACTGCTTTTCTCACTACATCATAATTGGGAAAAGGGTCTTTGATTTAGGATAATGTGACAGGCCTGATATCACAAGGGAAAAAGCCAGAGAGACAAATTAATTTGCCCCCAAATCCCCCAATTCCCTCGATCATTAAGCTAGTACTAGAAATCAAGTCCCCTGAACCACAGGTCAGCTCTCCTATCCTCACCATACCATGTAGTTTCACTTTTGACACAACTATTCAATCAACTCTCTTTCAGTCTGATCATTTTGAAGGATGTGTTAATGAATGGATCACTGTACAACCATCAGGGATTGGTCAAATGGGATTAAGACGAACAAAAATCCCCAAGCAAATGGTTCTCTATCAGTTGTCCTTCCTACCTGGACACAACCAGTCTTCCAGGCTGTTCTTTTCCACGTGACCCAAAGTTGTCTGCGTTTAACAAGCAATACTTCTGTGTGACTATTGATAAGCGGCACCCCAGTTACCTGAGAAGGAGAGAAGGCAGGTGTTTGCATGAAGAATCAGTGACTGTTGAGCACTAAGAGGAGTGAGTTCTGAAAGATTAGACTGGGATTCATCCAGAGGAACATTGAGTTAATTAGATTTTCTGAGGCACCAACTAGAGTACAAATGCTCCAGGGTCTCACAGTATGAGGCAGAGTATCACACACACACACACACACACACACACACACACACACTCAGTCACCCACACACTGCAACCACATAGTAGAATTCCTTGATGACATCAGTGATGTCATCATCATCCTAACAAGCTACGTGGCACAATCCATAGACTGCCAGACGTGGAGTCAGGAAGACATGAGTTCAAATCCTGCCTTAGACACTCAGACCCCACGCGAGCCACTTCTCAGTCCCAGTTTTCTCATCTGTAAAATGAGGATAATCCAAACACTTTCCTCACAGGGTTGTGAGGCTCAAACGAAATGATGTATGCAAAGTGATTTGCAAACCTTAAAGAGACATAACAATATGAGCTGTTATTATTAATTGTTATTGATTCCATTACTTCTTGATCATCTGGGTCTCCTGATTCTGTATTGGGTTCTACCATTGGGTCTGTCAAGACATTGGTTATAGGATCCTAGAACAAAAGGATATTAAGTTAAAACGAACCTGAGAACACGAGTGTGGAAGGTTGTAGCTGGAAGGGACCTTGAGATGCAGAATACCACAGCTGGAAAGATCTTGGAACATAACATATAGAATATTAGTGCTAGGGGAGGCGTTGGAGACTAACTAGTCCCATCTCCTTATTTTACAGATGAAGAAGTAGAGGTCCAGAGACAGCATTGCTTCTCCTCTGTCCATTTGTAACTTGGGTTATGCACATCCAGTGCTGCTGGCATCTTGCTCTAGGGATAGGAACTGGAAGCAAGCAGAGCTGGTTTATTTCTGATCTGACTTATGGCTTCATTGCTCCTTGAGAGCAGGATTCTTTTGCCTCTTTTTGCATCCCTGGTGCTAAGCACTGTGCCTGGCACACAGTAAGTGCTTAATGAAGATTGATTGCTCCCCATAATGATGATAATGCTTCCCATGACTCGAGCTTAAAGAGGAGAAGAATTGGAAGAGGAGGAGGAGGAAGAAGAAGTTAGAAAGATAAAGGAAAGGTAAGTGGGTGAGTTGTGTTTGTTGAGGTCTTTGGTGGGGTGGGTATTATAGAATCATGGCATCGTGTTGCTGTTTCATCATTTTGGCCACGTCCAACTCTTTGTAAATCCATTTGAGGTTTTCTTGGCAAAGATACCAGAGTGGTTTGCCATTTCCTTCTCTAGCCCATTTTACAGATGAGAAAACTGAGGCAAACACGATTAAGTGACTTGCCCAGGGCCACATGGCTAGTAAGTGTCTGATGCTGGATTTGAGCTCAGAAAGATGAGTCTTCCTGACTCTAGGCCTGACACTTTGTCTACTGTGCCCCCTAGCTGCCTCACAGAACCTTCTTAGAACCCATTGGTTCTATGGCCTTCATAGAACTCACAATATTTGGGGAGATTAGAAATTACTCTTACGCAAAATAAATCCACCAGCAGGATTTGAACAAAGGGCTAGCTATGAGAGTTCAAAGGAAGGAAAGACTTGGTGAAGAGAAGAGCCTCACTTAGACTACACCTACAAATATTCATGGGGTTCTCCTTGTTTGGGAACTCTCTCCACAGATCATACAGCCTAACTTTGATTTAGGAGGCAAGTCCTAGGGAATTGCCCAAGACACAGATGGGTTAAGTGACCCCCATGCCTGGACAGCTCTCCTTCCTCTGCTCTCACTACTGACTTCCCTGGCTTCCTTTAAGTCCCAACTAAAATCCACTTCTACAGGAAACTTCCCTCAACCCTGTTTAATTCCAATACCTTCCTTCTTCTGAATATTTCTGATTTATCCTCTGTATAGCTTGCTTTGTATATATTTGTTTGCATTTGTCTCCCTCATTAGATTGTAAGCTACTTGAAGGCAGGGACTGTCTTGTTCCTCTTTTTGTATCCTCAGTGCTTGGCACAGTTTGTGACATATAGAAGGTGTTTAATAAATGTTTATTGAATTGAATTGAATTGACTTGCTCAGGGTCACATAGCCAGTTAGTATTAGAGACAGGATGTGAGGTCAGGTCTTCCTGATTCTAAGGACAATTGTTAACTTCCTCACACGGACTACAAAACTTGGCAAATATTGGCAATAGCAGGCCAGGAATAATACCCATCCATACTACCATGCTTGCTGTTATGTTCAAAAATCTCTAGATTTTGATTTAACCCAACAAAGCAATTATTTCTGGTACTGGCAATGGATGAAGGCTGAGTTACAACTGGACCAATTGTGGTACCTATTACCAGTTAGCTTTTGAGCCACATTTTGAGTATAACCATAACTTTATATTTTATGAGAATGTTCAGAACATCTCCTCTGCAAAGGAGAACACTAAAGATACAGCTGAAATTCTAGCTGCTGTCAGAGGTTTGGCTTACAAATAGTGATAAAGTGCAGACTGGAGATCTGCAGATTGCCTCGGACATTGAGAACCTGGACAAGGAGTCTATGGTGGGAAGTGAAGAGCCCTGTGACTCCCTGATGAATTCTCACTGGCAGCCTCTGGATACTGTGGCTTCTGGAGTCAGTCCCAAAGGACATCCAGGAGTAACTCTACAAATACAGAGCTGGGATGGGTCAGAAGTCACATTTGGTTTTGTTACATAGGCATTTGTTTGAATATAATTGTTAGGAGGATTGGAGCATAGTGAGATAATGAAGAATTACCTCTATAAAAATAAAGGTACTTAACCAGTAAAAAAAAAAAAATAAAATGGGGCAGCTAGGCTGCACAGTGGATACAGCAGTGGCGCTGGAGTCAGGAGGACCTGAGTTCAAATCTGACCTCAGACACATAACACTTACTAGCTGTGTGACCCTGGACAAGTCACTTAATCCCATTGCCTAGCCAAAAAAAAAAAAAAGAACGTAAGCTCCTTGAGGGCAGGGTTTGTCTTCATTTTTGCTTGTATTTGTAGCCATAACACTTAGCTTAGTGTGTGGCATATAGTAAGTGCTTAATAGAAGTTTGTTTCCTGACTGTCTGGTCTAAATCATCTCTGAGATTTTTTCTAGCTCTAAAACTTTCGGGACTCTAACTCTGAAAAATTGCTCATTGTCCTTTAACCTGGTGGAAATTGAAACTGCTAGTCATCCTGGAACAGTATGTGAAAGTGACTCACGATGTTCTTGAAATGTTCATTATTATTCTCCAGAATTTCAGTATTTTCTCAATATTTCTCTTCCATGCCTCCCCTGCCCCATTCAAATTCCCGATATTGAAACCCTCCCTTTGTCCAAGACCCAGCTTGGATGCAACTTCCTTCATGAAGTCTCCTCTGGTTCTCCCTCTCTACCCTCTCTCTTTCCTCAAATTTCTGAGAACACCTTTGCTTGTCCTTCACCACTATAACATTCTTCTTCATATTATATTATTTGTGTACATGTCTCCCTGCCCCCTCCTTCAAGTAGAATGTAAGTTCCTTGAGGGCAGGAACAATATCTCCATTATCAAACATTTATTAAGCATCTGCTATGTCCTAGGCACTGAGGGAAGCCCTTGGGAATACAAAGAAAGGAAAAAATGAGTCCTTGCCCTCAAGGAGCTTATAGTCTAACAGAGGAGACAATATAAAAATAACCATGTATTGAAAAGTTGTATACAGTGTAAATGGGAGCAGATTAGAACAAATATTGGCAAATATTGGCAGTAGCAGGGTGCAAAGCAAAGAATATCAGGCCACAAGTAAAACCTGTACTACTATTATTTGTTGTTATGCAGACATGTCCAACTGTTTGTGACCCCATTTGGGGTTTTCTTGGCAGAGATACCACCATTTCCTTCTCCAGCTCATTTTACAGATGAGGAAACTGAGGCCAACAGGGTTAAGTGACTTGCCCAGGGTCACACAGCTAGTAAATGTATCAACAAACTAGTAATGTCAATATTCTTTTATCGTCAGCCCTAGTAGAATACCTTGCTTATAGTAGGCAAATCAAATCAATTCAATGAAGAAGCTTTATCATGTACTTTCTATGTTCCAGGACCCGTGCTGCGCTCTGGCAGCGGATATGATGATTAAAAAAAAAAAGTCCTTGCCTCCTAGGAACTTCATTTCTATCTAGGAAAACTATATGCATACATAAAAGTAAATACAAAATGCATGCAAAATCAGTATAATTTCTTTTTCTTTTTTTTTTTTTTTTGCTGTGGGGAAGGTGCTAGCATTTGAGATGATAGGAGAGACCTTGGGGGGACCTCTGAAGGAAGCTGGTATTATAAGAGGCCAAGGTAAAGATGGAGTGTATTTTAGGCAGGGGCATATATTCTCATGTACTGATGGATAAGGGTAGGTATGGTTGTGTTAGAGCCAATGCTCATGATTGGCCATTACAGGTAGAGTGGGATGAAACCCATCTTCTCACTCTCAGACTGGCTGATGACACACCCAGCTTTGGTTCCCCTTTTTGGAGATCTTATTCCAGGGAGCAGTGGGGACTGTAGTGCCTCTGCATCTGTACACATTTAGACCTGGAAAACACTTATTAGCCAGAAAATTTGGAAATGCAAAAAAGCATACAATTAAGTCTTGATTCTGTCATTAAATAAACAGGTATGAGTTTTGTTTCCACACCTAAACAGAGCTTTCTAAAAAATAAACATTTGCTATCAAGTGAACCATGGTTGTTTCCCTCCATCTTCTTCCCCACCTCTGTTCCCCACCCTGAACATTCTCAGAGCTCATAAAAAAATCATAACTTATTCTCAATTCTAGCTTAAAATCCGGTAAAGTCTAATGAATGGATATCGACTTTGAGCTCAGTTGGAGGAGAAAGACCTGGCTTTTTCCCCACACTGTAGGAGGGATGCTTCCTGGCCAACGAATGTGGGGGGTGGCCCAGGAATTTCTCTGGGGATTGGGCTGGGGGCTTGGA